TTCTTACACTGAAGTTTGTTATTAATCGTATGCCTTCCTCTGAGTGCATTAAGTACTATTTAAGCTGCTTCCGTGGTATTGTACGTTCTGTATGCGCTTTACCGCGGCTCTAACCATTACTTGGGAATCTGTTCACGACACATGGCGACCAGCAGACATCATGGATGGAAAAAATTGACGTAGATATGCGTTATCAGATTGGTTTCGCCAATCATGACGTTGTAATACGTGCCTTCCAGCAAACGCTTTACGAAGCCTTGCAAAACTGTGAAAGGTCGATGCGCGCTTAAACACTACCGATGACATCATGACCGTGTCTGAAGCTCCTTGTTCTGCAGCGTTGCCAGCCGCAGTCGATACCTCACATCATGAGCGATTGCACGATAATTCGACTGGAGGATGACTTGGCAATCATAAACTCAGTTGGTAATCATAATGTCAATGGAGTTGACTGCGTGTACATTCGATAAAATGCTGCTAAAAATGAAATGGGTTTGGTTGTTTAGTTTGTCCCACGCAGTACTTCTGCACGCTAGACCGTTAGACACTTTACTATAGAGGTATCTGACTGGAAAGAATGAAAATCTTTGCTTTCATCATCAAATTGCAGGATCGTCCTAATATTCTTTTTCTTGTATTTTAGCGTATGCAGATTTCTCATAACTTTGTCATTGAAAAATTTTACCTCCAGTGTGCGCGAATTCTCTGTGGTGAATCTAAAAATTATTCCTAGCCTCAAATGAATGCCAGGTACGCAATTCCTCACAGAAATGTGCACAAACCTTTCGAACTATGCGCATTCTCTCCGTAGTCCGTCCTCATGCTTCATGAAGAACGGACAGCGAATAGGGTGCTGGATCGCATTATAGGACGAAGTGCGATAGAATTTCTGTTTGTATTTGTATTCCTAAACTGTTGCGATATCCAAGAAGGCCTCTCATTCACTTCAAACTAGACAGCCAACCTGGCTCTGATAACCCTCGTTTACAGAGTCCTTAGGCCTATAAGACATATCTGTTTTAGGAGGAAAACGATTATGAATAATACAGAATAGTTGACTCTCGTCCATGCTAAATCGCTTATGGAAAAACGCAAAATCTTTCTTTTGCGCCGTCTACCCTCAGAAATGACAATGATAGCTCATGACAAAAAGAAAATTTAGTTCATAGTACAAGAAAATCAAGAAAATGTCTTTCATGAATTGGATGGTCGCAGTTCCGGGAAATTCGTTCTTAGAACCTTGTTCAAAATTGCGCATCATATGTTTGTTCTTTTTAATGGAGGACAAGATTTGTCATGGGCGACTTTTCATTTCCTTTCTGTTTTTGGGCAGTTGAATCAGACCATGCCTGTTGCCTGTCCTTTAGTTGTATGACAGATTCTCAGACCAATGGTTATCAGCATCTGTTCGTTTGTGATTCGCTTATACCAATGCATTTTGACAGCATTTCGAAGGCAGCCTATTTGGAAGTGCTGAAGTCGAGCAAAAGATGCATTGAAGTCGTACTTCGTTAGCAATTAGTGATTTTCTGTTAAGAGAATGTTGCCGGTTTTCTGTTTAACAGGCAACTATTTAATGCATCACACAGCTGTTGCAGGTTATTTTGGTTAGCCGCCGTTCATTGCTTGGACCATTGTTCAGTTTGCTGCATAACTAGTTGTTCCTCGTTCAATTATTGTTACCTGGTTAGTGAAAAAAATTTCAGAGTTCGCTTTTGCCTGATGTTCCATACTCATAACTACGACGTATAGCCAAGAAGCAATGTAGATGATACCTGTAGTTACGAAAGCAATGGATAAAATCGGCTTGAGGAATTCAGACGTTGGAATGATTTCGCTGTCCACCCGCTGGCTACTTTCGCTGAACCTCGTCAATGGAGTCATGGGTGTCAGCGCCCTCGTATTACCCTCTTGTTTCCATCAGGTACGGCAACTGCCTTCTGTTCATTTTCTACAACTATTATTGTTTTACAATTTTCAGTTTTACAGTTGGTTTGTGATTAGTTTTGTTTCGATGCATTATACATTGTACATACGTTTACATTCTGATGATTCATTTTTCTATTCGCTGCTGTGCACTACAGTACATGTATGTTGGCTGTGGCTTCTTCGGCTCAACTCTTCTCAGATTTAAGACACCGAGATTGCTCAGTCGGTAAAACCTCGGACTGAGTGCTTAGAGGTCCCGGATTCGAACCTCGGTTGCAATCACTCGTCTTTTTTCCTTATGAGTTTGATAAACGAGTATCATCCTGGGGGAAGGAAGCAGGAGACTACTCATTGCCTGCCACGGAGATGCTGTCGACTCCGCATTTAAAACAAGGCACTTCTAACCGATGGTGTGGCTACGCGCTTCAGCTCTCCACCATCAACTTCATGAAAAGAAAGGCGCCGGAAATGGCCTCACCATGAAAGGGTAAGGAAGACTAACATTTCCGCGGTTTCAAACGTTCGTTTACTTTTTCTTAGACTTACGAGGGAAGCACACTGTGCGGTAAAGTATTGTTAAGAAGTATAATATGAGGGGTTGGTAGTTTCTTAGGCAAGTAACGCAGTAGAGCTTAAGATGTTCAGTGGCTGCGTTGGCAACTGTGACCAATTGTCATGATGTCATTTTCATGTAATGTGGATGTACCTCAGTGGTCGGAAGATCGAGTTGCTCTTCCTTCATTTTTCCAAAGTAGGTAAAACG